AATCTCTTTAAATAAGGCCGTGTACTTTTTTAAAAGAGGTTTTTGTGTAATAACTGCTTAATGTGAATTCAATTCTTAAAAAAATATTTCTCAAAAAACTGCTCCATTTTTTTAAATTATTTCTACGGATAGGGAAACGGGCTCTTAAAAGTGGCGTTAGTCGCGTTTTCAATTATCTTTCTGAATTTTCAAAAATTTCAAAGTTTAAAACAATGCGAAAAAGTATGTGCTGTAATGATATTGGACGCCCTATCGTAACTCCTCTTTGAGTCATTTCCACTTTCTTTTTGCCTGTTAGCATACATTTTCCTGTTCGTGCATCACAAATTTTAGCAGTTGCTAAACTTCCTTCTCTACTAGGGCGGCAAATTAATTAAGGAAGAAAAAATACCAAAGAATTCATGGTGGTTCTTCGACATTCATACAGTTATATAATGAGCTTTCTATTTAGTCCACAAGACAAGCAATTTTACAAAAATAATTGGGATTTCCCCAAACATAAAACCGTTATCCTGCGAAATGACATTCTTTTACTTTTTATACAAAATACAAACGCCTTCAATTTGGTACATATTATCTGTATGCAAGTGAAACTATAACTTTATTTATATTATCAAGGCCGATTACTTCTATTCTTCTGATTGGTGTTATATTGGATTACTACAGTACTACAGTTTGGAGGTATCAAATTACAATGATAATGTACAGGAAAAATCCATCATATGTGGTAAAAGAAGAAACTATATGGAGTGGATTTAATAGAACATTCTTCAAATTGATTTATCACAAAACAGTTTTTCGAGTTGTGAATTTTACTTGCATTCTGACGTATTAATTTTCCACAAGCACAGAAAGTTGCCCAATGGATGTTACACATAATACCACATCATAAACTCAGGATTATTTAATATTTCAATATTAAGTATTAAATTGTTTTCAACTCAAGAGAAGATTTACCTCTGTTCGTTCAGTCAAGTGAGCGATATTTTTGGCACTAATTGATTACGAACCTAATTGGGGAGAATTGTAGGTGATGAACGCTCACAAACAAGCCATTTTCCTATTATTTACGTGCATAATTCTTTGATAGAAATTTAGTTCCATAAAAAACGATAATGAAAGGAAACAACCTTGGTCTTTGAAATTAAGTATTTATGGCTTGTCTGTTTACATCTTCTACATCTATTATTTAATTTACACGCTCATATACTATGATGTCTTTCTCAACACGCCTTGTATAAAATCTTAAAATATTATTTTTGCGAATAATATTGGAATAATGTAAAGCACTCATTGAAACTATCATCAACTGCACCCACTGATCCAACACTTTCAGAGACTACAAGTTGGCGTTACAACTCATACAGTTGATTGAAATATGTACGCATACTTTATAAGTAAAGCTGAAGTGTTTTATAACGCGCCAAAGAAATCTACTGATCTAAACAAACCATAATGTAGTTTTGGATAGTTATTGAACTCATAAGAAACACTATACATATTATGGTATATCACTTCAAACCACAAACTACTGCACGAAAATACTAAGGCATTACCAGCATTGACATTATTATATTTTATGGCATCAGTGGTCATTGTGTCATACATTCAATGGAGAGAAAGTACACATTTTCTCAGAAACATAGTAGAGAGAAAGTAATGTAATGCTGCAAAAAATATAACTAAGAATAATAACCAAAATTATTGAAATTCTGTAGACTTCTATCGGGATTGAAATGTATTGAACTTTCAGTCTATTAGTATTTCTCATTCATCTAGTATTGAAAACGTTATATAAGGCATCTCATACACGTGGTGGAGAGACAGCTATGTAATACATTTTCTAAAATGCGTAGTACAGAGAAAGTAGTGCAATGCTGCAAACATTTATAAATAATAATGATAAACGAAAATAGAAACAAATAACTATATATATTGTTGAAAATCAAAAGTTATTTGTGTTCCAAGGGTACCGACAGTTGGTATGTATCGAAAATGATACAAATAACGTAATAAACATAGTTAAAAAATGCAAAATAAGAAAGTTTAAAGATTTTTGCCCTGAATTGTCATATATTTGACTCCTAGTCAGAAATATAATTTTTCGTATCCTTAGTACAGAGAGAAAAAATGTAAAGCTGGAAAAAGTTACATTATTTGATACTGATGTATGTATGTATGTATGTATGTATATACATACATACATACAAGTGCTGACAATATATAAACACAAAAAGATCCTCAATATATAATATAGTTTAAAAGAAATTCAAAATGAAAAAGATGTAAAAATAAATCAATTTATATAATGCAGAGAAACCCCAAGACAATACATACAAACAAAAACAAAAACACAAAATTATATATATATATATATATATATATATATAATTTATTACACAATACAGTTATAAAAAATACTAAAAATAATAAAAATATGTAAAAAGAATATATAAAAAACATTGCAAACGGCGAGGTTCATCTATTAAAGTACAGTTTATCCTCTGACAGTGAGCACGAATGAGCAATCTCGCCAAGCACATAATTACTACATACGCCATTGCTGTAGAATGAGATGGACAATGAAGCCACGTGTAATTCAAATTTGCTGGCAGGAAACTAACGACATCACCCTTTAGGATTCATTAGGGCAAACTCAGTTTCAAAAAACTATGAATCAAGATATTGGGCCATGTGGATCACACTCCACAACTGCTTATTTGCGTAAATCAAAGACGATTATCAGGATCGTGATTCATACTGAGTTTACATCTGCTGCAGGGTTAGCTTATCTGTCTTAATCGCACTCTCGTATATGATGCACTGTTGTCCCTTCAAAACTCCCATCGTGCACTTGTCAATATAGCTTGAAACATGGTGAGTCGCAATGGATGGTCCTGCCAGATTCTTCTCCGTTAGATCATCGACATCAGCTGCATCATCTGAAATGTGCAGAATATACGAATTATGTGAACATTAGCTGCAGCTATAGTATGGGGATGAGTCATGTCGGGTTCCTCTTCCATAGCATCAGCTTCATCCTGTAACAGACTTCCATCAGTGATTTTATCATGTGTGACACTGAGAAATCCATTCAGATTGCACAGAATTCCTAATGGGTCATCCTCACAATTGGTACTCCGGATTCTGGCATTAATAAGATCATTGAGAATTGCTGGCTTAAAGGCAGAAATGAAATGGTCACTTCTTAGATGATCATCAGCCACACCATTCTGCCTGATCAGCAAACAAATTCTCCAATGGATCCTGATTTATTCGCCTTAAATGCAGATTTTCAAATGTGCCCTTGTCGTCATTTTACAGATATTCGAGTACAAGAAGGGTGGACTCATAGAAAGATTGAAATTGAAAAAGAGTTGACACAGCACACGCCTTCTAACATCCACCCCATTCTCATTGCAAAATTCTCAGGTCCAAAACTTCATATTCCTGAGCTTTCTGCGCATTATGGCCCAAACTGCAGTGTGCATTGACCCTTCTCGCTCAACAAAAGTATATGTTCCCTTGTGTTCTTTAATGTAGTAATCTCGCTTATCTGAACCATTTGAATAATCAAATAGCGCATCGAAGACAATAATGACATCTTCCGTGATCAAACCACCAAACGCTGTTCGCCATGAGGCCTCTCGTCATCTAGAACTGTTCGCATTTGCCTCGCACACCTCCGGCTCGAAACTTGGGCAGCATACTTCACCTTCATCTGCGCTCTTTTCTAGGGGGACACGTGATTTTTGGTAGAGGTCTGTACTATAAAAAGTTGGTGAAGTTTCCACAGACTAACTATGTCTTCCCACCGAGCTACTTTCCCCATCTCAGTCAATCTCCGACGCGTTACAAAAACTGCTGCGTGAACATTTCAGGAGACGGGAGTACATCATACAATACAAAAAACCTTGTAGCCTTCCACACAACATTTTCTCCCTGGCTTACTGCAATAGGCAGAGAAGCGTGGAATGACGGGGGTCCCGGTAATATTTTCTAATTTGCGTCCTGAATTCCCGGAAGGAGCACTCAGGACGGTTAGGAACATGTTCAAGGGTACGCAACAAAGTTCCCACAGAAGGTAGTATCAGGTAACAACAGAGCAGACGATACGCCTTTAGACTACGCATAAAGACAGAAAGTCATAACTTTTTCCTGTTGTGTCTATCGCCCGGCATTACCTTCCCGTTAGAAATTACGCAAATATAAGCAAGTTAAAGGACATACCACCCCCCAAACATCGCATCTAAGTTCTTAGCCTGAGTGACTACTCCCAAATGATCGTTAGCTTCATCAAACTTTTGATATCACGCCTTAGCTTTAATGTAATAATTTTCACCGTTAGATGGCCAGCTTCAGAAAGAATCCTGCGTAACTTCCTTGTTGAAGAACCTGACAAAAAGTCATTTCATTATTTATTTATAACAAATTGAATTTCACATAACACTGCAGTATATGTTTTTTAATTACGTACACTGAAGACCAACGGAAAAATGCGGAAAAAGTCCAAATAGGTCTCACAATAAACCCGAAAAATATATTTAATTACCATATGATAAGTATAATGAGATATTTATTTTTATGTTGATGAGCAGAAAAGAGTCGACAAGGTGGATATATACAAAATTCGGCACGAGTTCTACCAATTTAACACTTTTATCAAACCTCCAGATTTAAGACTTAAGAAGCAATAATATGAAGTAGAGAAAACGAAGAGTTGTAAAATAGGTTTCCCACAAATTTTCAGAAAATGATTAAAGAACTAATTTGAAGCCAAAAAATTATGTTCAGTTCATTTCAGTATATTATTTTAAAAAAGGTATTCACCTTAGGTAAACTTAACAGCGAGCCATTATTTTCATTCATAAAATGCTTTCTGAGAATGAACATTAATTTTACGATATATACACATCAGATACCACTATTTAATTGATGTAAATATACATACAATATATACGTTTGAAAATTAAATATAGAAATTATTTTTAGTTAATGATCAAATCTAAATGGAAACAATTACTCACAAGAGAAGCCACGCATCTGCTTTTGAGCAGGAAAATCGATTGGAGTCGCACTCCCATTGCGCTTCCCCACACGAGAATGTAAAATAGAATTTCCATCACGTGGTACAGCAATATCTATAAAATACCAAAAACATCATTAATTCTCATAACATATACAGTCCATGCAGGAAATATTACCACAAATAAAAATATATTACCTAAATCCTAGTGAATGGAAGATTCACCAAAACTTCCACGGAGGCACCCTTCCACATGATATGATCTCTCTTCTCCAGCGTGAGGAGATGGGTCTGCAAAAGAAAAGAATGTGGTATTAACGACGTGCAAAATGTACCGTTCGTTCTTTTACCGCGATTAAAAAAGGTTTTTGAAGTTACCAGGACATGAAAGAACTCCGGAAGGATTGACGTCTTCGACATTAAGAGCAGGTGGTGCTGGTCCTAAAAAGTAAAGAGACGTGGTTCATAGGTTTTGAATAAGAGTTCTCTTACTTCATTTCAACGAAGCTAAAAAACAACTTACATTTGCCTGGTGGTATGGTTTCTAAACATGTTCTGAGCACTCCTTCCGGCAACCCCCGTCGCACGTCATAAAATTTTACCAGGATTGCATTCTGCCAGCTCTACACATTGCAGTCAACATTCCAGGAAGAAAAATGTTACACACACACACACACACACACACACACACATGTTGGTTAATGTCTAGAACGAGCACACAGCTAATGTTGGGTACGTAATTGCCATCAGCCACTCCATACACCTATAATACATAATAAAGTGAATTACATTAATTGCTCTATATTAAGAAACAATATATATTCAATTTCATGTCTTCAGAAAAATGACTATAAAAAATTAGGGGAACATTCATTATCCTAATAATTTGAAACCATTCACGCAAATCATGCAAGGTAATTAATTTCACTTACCGTTGATGATCAGTTGGAAAAGTAAACAGCCTAGTATTTTCTGCATCCCCCACTCGCTTATTGAGGAAATTGGGAACCCCAAAACACCTATAATTCGGCATTTCTCTGTAAAATCTTTCACGTCAACACGGACCAAACATCAACACCGGAAGAAAGTCGTGAAACACTCCGAAATAAACTGTTATAGAACGTATATAACTCCTTATAACAAAGGAATTTCAATTTTTGGTGGCAGTACCGAACTAGCTCAGAACTATCGTCAGATGGTAGCACGATTGCAAGGCAGACTTTTTATGTTGTCAAAAGTCGCTATTCAGCGCTCCACCATGATGGGCAGGAATGGCGGGCCTTCCCATAAACCTTTCAGCTCCCCCTCCCCCACCACTTCGATGAAATAAGAAATTTTCCTGACCCAAGAAGTGGCAGCCTCTGGCTCTCTCCAAGCCATGTCACATCACACACTTCCTTCCACTGTCTAGACCAGGCGACTCCTTGTCGCTGACTGACTCACAGACGCCCGTAGTTGACTCAGAATGCTCAGACTCCCGTAATTGGGGGCCCGAATAAATACCCGTTCGTCGTCTCGGCGAAGACTCGTTCTCCACCTCAGCTCTGGCAGCGTGTGTTCTGCCCGAGCCGCTGTCGCTAGCGGTGCTCTGTAGAGCGCGCGCTGCCTGTACTTTTGCGCGCCAATTCAAAGTGACGCTCAACCAAAACAATAACGGTAAAAAGAATTGAAGTATTTTGAGTCCATATATAAGTCATGTTATATATAAAATTCTTCCATATTATCATAATGTAACCTTTACCTCTCTGTGGTTGACAGATACCAACGCTACATTCAAACAGTGCGGGCAGTACCCTCTGCAAGGCGTTGGAAACCCGTATTTATATATTTTCTGAGATTTTCAATTGTAGTGTCCTTACCGACCGACGCGGTTGGGAGCAAGGTAGAGGGAGAAGGCTTTGAGACGCGAGAGAAGAAGGTGGAAAAGGTGTGCTCTTGGGGAGTGGTGGTGAGCGTGGTGTCAGGACGAAGGAGAGAAACGGACACTGAGGCTGCTGTGCCTCGGTTTACTGGCATCCGTTTACCTACACTACATTACCGTTGAAGAGCCCGGATCTGCGCGGAGACGTATATTGGGCGACACCAGTTTGCTGACCTTCGCAAGCTTCGCGCCGTTGGGCGGCGGCAAGGTCACGAGAAGTCGGTATTTATCTAGGTATAGATAAAAATAAAGAGATTGGTAATTGCTATTTTTGTCTCCTTATCTTTTGCCACGAACTTGCCATGACTGCGGGAAGCATCAAGTTCGCCCAGCTTGCTAATACTTTGGAGGCTCTTGATAGTATTCCCGTAGCCCTCCAAGCCAACCCTTTAACAAGTGTGTCAAGTGGTTGCGTTCACGACATTCTCCAGTGTAAATAGCGTTCATTAGACCCTGCATAAGTAAACAGTAAATGCAGAGAGCTACAAGCCCTCATTTAAGTGAATGTTGTAATGAAAGTGCATGTAACTTGAACTTTACAAACTGTGCTTGATGCTCCCTTTATATATTGTTTGTCAACGTGTTAAAATTTGTATCTTTGTATTTGAGTTCTTTAATTAGTGAATTTTTTTGAAGAAACAAGAGTAAATTTATGCTAGATTGATTTTGTCATTGTAGAAATGGTAATTTTTGTTTTGTTGTTTAAGAATATATGTATTTGAGTTTGCAAATTTTCTTGATACATTACTCCTTTTACAAGACTAAAAAATCCACGATCCTGTATATAAAAAAGTCGTATTTTTCTTTCGGCTGTTGATCATTAAGAGATCAAAGTCATGAAGTTTTAACATTTACAAGTAATTAAATAGTTAGAAATAAAATATAACGTAATGGAGATGTGTTCCAAATCGTTAATGAGTGATCAAATTATTAAGTGCTTTCTGTGTGGTCAAAGTATTTTTTATGAATAATTTATTGAAAGAAAACTAATTGAGTTGATCAATTAGTATTACGTACAATGTGATGCAAAAATGCTTCATTACTTTAGATTAAAAACTTGAATGCGCCAGACTATACCGCCCCGGCGCTAACACTCGACGCATTTATCGCTCTTGTTAGTTCTCAGATTCGCCGGTCTCTCTTCAGTTCTCCACTTCACTTGGTCGGGTAATACTATCTTCTTTATCGCTTATTACTGTTAATTTTCATGCCATATAAACAGCGTCAACATATTCAAATTCCGAATCAGTTGAATCAGATTCTTTACCAATTGCAGTAAGTTTTTGCACTTTCAAAGCTTTGACACGAGTATAACAAAAGAGAAAATTCGGAATAAAATTTCCAAAAAAAAAAAAATCAAAAAATCAATTTTCCTCACTTTAAAAAATGCATACCATGATACAAACGTTTTCCACAATGTCATAAATAACAAATTACAGCGAATTATATACGGACTTTTTGGCCCTCCCTAAGAAGAATAACGCAGGAGAAGCAAAGAAACAATACGAGTAAAATAAATGCGTGTTCATAACACTTACCGTAAATGGGATAATATAAAATTCATTTGATAGCATATTGATCTATGTTGCATGAATAAATCTCACAATATCACATATGCCGTAGTTTTCAAGTGTGCTTCACTTTTACCTTACGTAATCTATTTGTATTTTAATAGTTTCACTGTGTCAACTTCATCTGCAATTCGTTCAGAGTCACACTGCATATCTCCCGGCGAAGGAATACCTCGCATTCAAAAAAGGTAAAATTTAAACTCCTCCTTTCGTAACAAGCATGCATGCACATGTATTGTATAGCATACGTCATATTGAATTTAAATTTAAATTTAAATTCTTACTTTAAACCTTGATTTTCTTTTGTATTGTATTTCACATTTAAATTTTTATGTAGAAAGTTTAAATTGTTAAAACTGCTTGATTGCAAAACACCTGATACTGATGCCTTATTGTTCCACAAAATTCTGTCTTTCTTAGAATGATGTCAATGTATTATTTTTTTAAATAATAGTCGATATTATTTTATGCAATATTAGATGATTTCGATCCTAATAGACAGATCTCGAAGGCAGTAGTGTCATGGCGATCTCGAGTCTAAGGGTAAAGGGTTCGAATCTCGCTTTGGGGAGGGATGTATTTGTGATCGCCCCTTCACCCTTCATCATCATCCTTTCACTTCATTAAAGAAGATTTAGCCAGCAGAAGGCCCTTTCACGTAATGGGATGTGAAGTTGGCTAATATTTTTTTAAAAAACAAAAGATAAAACTGTAAATTAAATGTAAGAGTTTGCCTGTGATTAAAAATTTGGGAAGGCTGGGTATCGCTCCTAGTACCTCTCACATGTTGAACGAGCGGGTATATCATCTGAACTTCGCTCCCGACGGTAGATCGGCGCTTATGGCTTGATTAGCTCTTAACTGTATAAATGTTTCAGTTAATATATCGACTTTCGCTTAAAAAATTACATTTTCAAACACATCATCTGAAATGGTTGATTTCAATAACTTCTATTTATTAATTATTTAATTTACCATGACTCAGATATGGCAGCCATTTGAGATGGTCTACGATTTTACTAATTTAATTATTTATGTTGTACGGTTAATACTACATTTATTATAATGTTGATTAATTTAGGTATTAGAAACATTACATTGACTTTACAAACTTGGGTTAGACATATAATACTTTCTCTCCTTATTTTACTATTATATGTGGACGTGCAAATCTGTTCAGGGCCGCAATTTCTGGAAGTTTTCCTTCAGTATCATGTCACTAAAATGTGATGGCAAGTTCTACAAATTATCAGACTTTTTACTTTGATAATAAAGAGTTAACATTTATTCTTCCTACTCACATCTTTTAGTCTTTAAGCTCATTAACTATTTGAATTATCTTTACTTCGTACATTCACAAATTCCGTACGATATTTCGTGTATAAATGTTTCCAAGCTAACGGAAATTTCTTCGCTGGTCTTCAAGATGTCTTCCATCCGGATGCTGTCAGTGGAATGTTCTCTCGATGCTCCTACTATCGTCGTAAATTCTGGCAGCGAAAGAATTTTTGTAATGTTCCCCCGAATCGTTACTGTTTAATAATAATATTTTATAATCCGATCTATCCCATTAAGACAGTTTCACTTTTGCTTCTTGCGCCTCGAATGAAGTACCTACTCGAGACTGCCTGTCATTGTATGTGACATAAAACATTTTACAATGTTCAGTTACGATGGTTGATCTATTCCCCACGTACGAAGTCTATTTTACATTAATACCCAAAATCACAAATTAAAACACAAGCTAAAAATGATACCCTGAAATTACAAATTATAACCTAAACATAAAAAACACACAATTAACGTACGTTTCCTCTTTCCTATTATGAAAAGTTTACTCAGCCCAAGCCAGCAAAATTAGTACCGCCCACTTCGGTTGCTGCCGAGAGACTAACGTATCCTAAATAATCGCGGAACATTGATTTTCAATACCGTCTTGTTATTTATCCAACATTATGTCCTGGGGCTATGCTTCGCACAAGAATATCGTGTTCAGATCTTCAAGCGCGGAACACAAAAAGTTTGTTGACACGTCCTGACGAAGTTTATTCCTTAGTCCAGATTATTAGTACACATCCAATTCTAGAGTAATCATACGTTTGATACATATTTCCCTTTATTGAATGCCTTGGGGCGGGGAGTCCTGTTATGTCACATCGGATCAGATATATTTTGCAGATTCGCATCTTCCAGTGAAACAAGATAAAGAACACTTCCAATCAATCCAGGTCTCTAACTTCTTGGCTCTCCGCCTGGCAGACGCCGCTCCCTAGGCTGTTACGCGATGTGATGAGTTTACGATAATATAAAATATGAATGTGTTTAATTCTAGACGGGAACATAAACATTGAAAAAATACTTAGAACAATAAAATTGCATTTAGCGTTTCAAAAATTTTCACATTAAAACTAACATTATGAAAGGATAAGTCGCAAAAATCTGGAGGCGCCGGGTATCGATCCCGGTACCTCTCACATGCTAAGCGAGCGCTCTACCATCTGAGCTACGCCCCCGTCGGGAAAGTGTGGTCTCCGTATCTGATGAAGTGATTTTTGGACGCCTTTCACTTTTACCGGAGCAGTGCCGCGTGGCCTGTTGCGGTGGGCGTGGTCGCCTTCACCGCTGCTAGAGTGCGCTGAGGCGACATTCCGGACTAGATTTCTCCTCGTGCAACTGCTCAGATAAAGCCTTTCTCCTCCCAAGAAAACGATGATGTGACCATACCTTATTGAAATTATTTGTTAACACTTTGATCACAAACTTTTGTCACTATTTTCCACCTAACAATTATATTAAAACTACAAAAGTGCTTATATTGTTTTAAAATTGTTATAACGAGTCTGTTGACTTCCTTTTAAAATTTGAATTCAGAAATAACATTATTGTTTCTGTAAAACTCCTGGAGATGGAAAAAGTTTCAAAAAGTCTTCGTACAACTTCAATATTGAACATAAATATTTATCACTTAACAAAATCCACACTTTAAGACAGCTC